CAATTTTTACCGACCGTATTGCAAACAATAGGTAGGTATTGCAAACAATTTTTACCGACCGTATTGTAAACAATAGGTAGGTTATGTGATGGCAACAAATTTTGCATATCGAGTTTTCGGTGGGAACGTACTTCTCCATAGTAGGGAAGTGTAAATAAACTATTTTTAGCAACCTGTAGGTCTGTGTGTGCACGCGTGTATCTCAAGTCCGGCTGAACCGATTTAGATAAAATTTTATATGTAAGTTTATTTCCACCATGGCACGGATTGATCAACTTTTGGGATATATCACGCCTCCGGAACTGCACTTTTTAGCGGGCCTGTTTTACATTTTTGAACATTTTGAAGAAAATATTCAACCGATTTACTTGAAATTTTATATATAAGCTCAGCTCGACCGTCCGCGAAAATTGCTATGTTTTGGAAGAAATCAGGCATCGGCAACTAGACGTTTACTACGGGCCAAATATACATTTTTGTGTATATAAAGAGAAATAATCAACCGATTTCATTGAAATTTAATATATGAATTTCTCGTATTAAAGCAATAAACATATAAATTTTTTGGAAAGATCAGGGCTCGAAACCTGATTCGCGGGCCAATTTTACATTTTTCGGCATTTTGAAGAAAATATTCAACCGATTTACTTGAAATTTCATATATGAGCTTTGCTCGGCCGCCCGTGAAAATTCCTAGCTTTTGGAACAAATCAGGCATCAGCAACTAGACGTTTACTACGGGCCAAATATACATTTTTGTGTATATACAGAGAAATAATCAACCGATTTCATTGAAATTTAATATTTGAATTCCTCGTATTAAAACAATGAACATGTAAATTTTTTGGAAAGATCAGGCATCGGCAACTAGACGTTTACTACGGGCCAAACATACACTTTTGTGTATATAAAGAGAAAGAATCAACTGATTTCATTGAAATTTAATATATGAATTCCTCATATTAAAGCAATGAACATATAACTTTTTTCGAAAGATCAGGGCTCGAAAACTGATCTGTGGGCCAATTTTACATTTTTCACTATATCTACGGAACGAATTGATGGAATTTCTTGAAATTTGATATTTGAGTTCTGGTTGTTACCGAAACTAACTGGCAAGAATTTAAGGGAATTCGGGTAGCACAAAGCGAAACTCTACTAAGAGCCAAATTTACATTTTTCTAGATATGTTAACTATAAGCTTACTAATGTCCTAAAAATTGGAAAGAAGTATTTAACAGACATTTTTATGATATTCTGTAACACTTTCATTTAACTAGACAATACACAATGCGGTCGGTTATGTGCTGACCACATCAGATTTTTTTTAAATTAATTTAATTTTAAATTCATTGACTATAACTTATAAAATAAACTCGTACTCAGGGACTATGAAAATTAGTAGTGTCATGGGAACTTCTTTGAAGATTTATGCATTAAAAATCTAAAAATGAATATGAAAATCAATATTATTAAAAAAAAATTCCAATATTTGTATTCATTTGTAATTACCAACCGCAATGATTAAAATAAGGGACGCTTTATCCAATGAATTTTCAAGCAATTCGGATGGCATAAGGCGAACTCTACTAAGAGCCAAATTTAAATTTTTCTTGCGTTTTTAACTAAAAGTTTACTAAAGTGCAATAAGTGTTTAAGTACTCGTAAGTAACACTTTTGCTAAACTAGACATTGCAGTCGGTTATTTGCTGACCACATCAGATGTTTTTACCAACCGCATTGTGTATACAATAAGGTTATGTGATGGTAATAAAAACTACATATCGAGTTTTCGGTTAGAACGCACTTCTCCATGGTAGGGAAGTGTAAATAAACTATTTCTGGCAACTTGTCGGTCTGTGTCTGCATGCGTGTATCTCAAGTTTGGCTGAACCAATTTTGATGAAATCTTATATGTAAGCTTATTTTAACTATGACAAGGGTTGATCAGCTTTTACGGTATATCGGGCCTTGGGAACTGGATTTTATACGGGCCTGTTTTACATTTTTGATTAAATTGAAGAAATTACTCAGCTGATTTTCTTGAAATTTCATATATAAGTTTCACCGTATCCGAAACCTCCTACTTTTGGAAGAAATCAAGTGTCAGCAACTGGAAGTTTACTACGGGCCAAATGTACATTTGTGTGTATATAAAGAGAAATAATCAACCGATTTCATTGAAATTTAATACTTAAATTGAAGGTATTAAAACAATAGATCTGTAAATTTTTTAGAAAGATCAGTTCTTGGAAACTGATCTGCGGGCCATTTTTTCATTTTTTACCATATCTACGGAACGAATTGATGGCATTTCTTGAAATTTGGTATTGGAGTTCTGCTTATTACCGAAGCTAACTGGCGAACTTTTCGCATAATTCGGACTGCAAAGAATGAAAGTCTCCTAAGAGACAAATTCTGGGTATGTAGTTAACATACCCAGAAAAATGTGAGTTTGTCTCTTAGGAGACTTTCATTCTTTAGTTAGTTTCATTCTTTCAGCTAGAAAGCTTATTAGTGTCTTCTAATAAATGCGGTGGGTTATGTGTTGACCACATCAGATTTTTTTATATAAAGAGATAAAGCTTGGATGTAATGAAAGTTTTCACATTCGTTGAAAATATGCAAAGTTTCTCGTATCTAAGTACTTTATTATATACGATTGTATATGACTTCATGAGTAAGTAAAAATATTGTATGAAGGCGATGTTCACAGTTCAGCAGATTCCGAATTAGAAGGGCTTAAACTCAATCTCGACTGACTTTTTTACATTTTGAAATTTTAACTATAACTCCGTGTCTGTATCTGATAGGCGCATTATTAATAATGATTTTTTCATGAATATGCATCTATATTAGTTATAATCTGCTCAGATTTCGGAATTGACTTTAAAGTTCGAATATTCGACATTTCAATGTTTAAGATGACGCTACATTATAAACAAAGATTTTTAAAAGATCCATAAGTAAATCACATGGAAGACATCGATAAGCGAAATCCTTCTTCTCTTTAATTATGCATGATGCCGTTTGTACACTTTAATAGTAAATTTTAAAAGTAATGTATTGGAAGAGGGACAATTGCTGAACGATCGACTTTCATCGATCGAGCCCTGAGCTTTACCCGTGCGCAAGTTGAAGAAATTCACTTATCAGAAGATTATTGAAATCAAAACTGACTTACAGGGCTGTATCGATGAGAGACGCCATATGATATTTACCGACAACGTCAATGACAACGGTCGTCGAGCGTTCACACGAATTTCAAAATAATCCTCGAAAGGCCTCAAAAGAGGAAAGTTATTGAAGATCATGATAATCGCTATTTTAGCATTTCTCTAATTTTTTGCTATTTTCATAAGATGAAAATTTTCATGAGACATAAAAGGGATATGAAGAAAAAACCATTTTTATTAAAATAACTGTTTTTGATAATTCAGGTTATTTGAAGGAAATGTGCTGCCGAAAAACTTATTGGCTCAACTACAGTTTTTATGTAATTACATTATGGTTTACTTTAAATCTTAACTATATTAATACTCATTGGTGTTACATAGATAAGATTCGATAAGATTCAACTTAATTTTTTTTTATATTTGCGCATTGTCACCTGTGGTTTAAGTTGTTAGACAACATAATATTTTGTCGCAATTTCTATTGAGAACATATTCATTTATTTTACTTATTACGTATATATACATACAAAAACTTCGTACATATATGAGTATTATAGTAATAAAAGCCTCTAGAATTAATTAATTAGATAAACTTAACTAGATTCAAATAAATGAAGCTGTAAGAAAATATTAACTTCTTAGCGACCATATTAAAATTTTCCTCTCGTTTACTGCAAATTTTTATAAAAATTGAATTTCACTATAAGAATGTATAAAATTTATATACAGGTGAATATGTACATCACCTGTAAGCATGCAAAATAAACTGCTACACAATTTTTTAAAACCTTATACTATTGAAAAAAACAAAATAAATATGTAAATTAATTATGTAGATACAAATAAAAAATATGCTTTTTCTATTTCCAGATGTATTTGTAATTTGTAGCTTAAGACTTTTTTTATTAATCTTTTTTGTACAGTGTGCAGGTTGATATTTCCGCTACAAAACTGCAGTAAAACTTATGTAATTTATTTATATGCAAGAAATATCCGTTACCTTCTTTTTAACAGGCTGTAGTTCCAAAACGAGTAAATCTGCACCCCTCCCCCCATGCATTTTTTGCTGGAAATTAATCAACGAATCATCAATGAAATTATTTGCCACCTTATGCGAAACACCCTGTATACATATAATATACACATACAAAAATAAATTACTTTTTTCTACATATACATTATTATCGAAATGTGAAAGTTCATAAGAATTGCGCCTTGTGTGCTTTATAGGGGAGAAAACTCAATTAAATTGAAAATGTATAGCTTTTTTACAGTTTAAACAATAACTGAATATATAACTCTATATTCACATACATACGTACATTCATATGTTTATGTATGTTCATTTGAAAGAAATATTTTAAATTATGTATTATAATTGCAGTTATATTTTTATATATTTTCTAGTTACGTTTTATTTGTAAAATATCTTATTTGAATGTGTATTACAATATACACTATAAATAAAAACCGTATCGCTACATAAATGCAATGCACTCCATAAATATATACGAATTTCTTTATATGTATGAATGTAGTTAGTTCTCTTTTCATCTGTTCTGCAATCGTGTTGCTGAATACAGAGCGCGTTACAGAATAGAGCGCCATCGTCATTTAATAATTATAGTACTAAAATATACTAACGATATTTTGATGTTTGGGTTTTTGAGTATTTAGTTGCTTATGCATTAGTGCGAGAGCAACATAAAAAAGAAAAAACTTGTCGGTGCAGTAAAAATCTGCAACATTTTGTTTCATTTCTGATTACATTAACCGTTTAGTAGATATAAATTCAGTCTGATACCGACCCGTAAGAACGTAAGCTTCATATTATTATCGGATTATTAAAAGAAACAGAAATTCAAGATAATAAAAAATTCAAAATAAAATACAAAATGTTTAAGAGAAATTATTGATTTTAAAAGTTAAAAACCGTACAATGTGAAAACGTTATAGTAAAAATCATTTTTGGCGGTTTCAGGGATATTTTTTTCAAAAATTTAAATAAAATTTAAGTTTTTATCAAAAATGCGAGATAAAAAAAGAGTTAATAATAAAGTATTACAATAATTTAAAAAAGATATTATGTAGCATTCCAGTTGAATCAAAAGAAAAGATTAACTAATACATGGAAGAACAAAAGATTTTGTTTGATATTTTTGACTCAATTTAGAACTTTCCCAAAAAAATTTTGAAAAAAAAGTGCTTATTAGTTTCAATCTGCGCGTTCGTCCGTCCGTGAATATGTTTGCAAAACTTCTAAACCTTTGAAAATAGAAAGTTAATTTTAATATAATAAATTTTCGAAGGGCGGAGCCCCTCTGAAAGTTATAGACTTCAAAACCACAAAAATGATATTTTTTAACTACCTATTGTAGCGAAATCATAGGCATTTTCCGAATTTCGGAAACGCAGAAAAGTAGTGTTTGGTTTCTTCAACCACTAGCCATTTATTAGAAATTTTTTTTCACCTTCACCCCTTCTCAAGGTATGGTCCCTAAAAATTTGTAAAATTTGAATTTTTGGTAACTCACGTTTCCGAAACTGTAAGCTTTTTTAAATATCTATAATTGCACAAATCTAACAGTATATGCCTTGCCATCAAAAAATGTAATTATTTTCATTTGTTTTAAAATGTATAATTTATTTTAAAATGTAAACCCTTCAATTCGATTATTATGTTTCATTTTTTTTGCCTCATTCTAAATGTATGCAATCTTTGAAATATTTTTCTTTATGAATGAAAGTGATTTTAATAATGTAGTACATAGACGGTTTTTAAAAGCAATATTTTCACTTGTTGAAGGGAAATGTACTACATTGCAAACCATTGATATGATCCCACTTACTAAATTATAAATAAAATGGAAACATAAGATCGTTTTTCATATTCTTGAAACATGGTTGGTCTGAAAAATAGAGATTGATGTTCTCAAGATTAATTACTAATGCTTTATATTTTTTTATTTCTTTAAAATATTATTAAAATGCTTTTTCGTTCTCAGAATATTCCTAAATTCCACTGTAGTGTTTGCTCGTATGTTAGTTTGAAAAAAAAAAATAGTTTTGATCTTTTACTAAAAATATATTTTATTGCTATTAAAGTAATAAAGTTGGGTCAAACCAATGGTTTGTATTGTAGCACTTTTCCCTTCAACAACTGAAAATACTGCTTTTAAAAACAGTCTATGTATATCCACCACACTATTAAATTTATTTTCATTCATATACGAAACTCGTTCTACGTAGGATTGCATATGTTCAGGATGAACCATTTATGCAGTCTTTGAAATAAAGCAAAATTTAATATAAAAAGGGGTTAACATAATGCTCGATTTTAAGGGTTAATTGTGTGAGTTAAGAAAAATAATTATATTTTTTAATGTCATGGAATTTACCGTTAACTTTTTGCGTTTATAGAAATTTGAAAAAACTTGCGGTTTCATAAATATAAGGTGTCAAAAATGCAAATTTTACAAATTTCAAGAGGTCATAACTTGAGAGGGGGTGGAGATGGAAAAAAATTTTCTTCTAACGAAATGAACTACTTATTAATGTCTAAAAGCCCCTAAAATTTCAAGCTTCTACAGGCTGGGGTCTAGAAGAAAAACGACATCAAAAATTTGGAAAAAAAGGACTTTAGATAACGGTAAATTTGAACGGCCATTTTGTTTTTCTAAAGTTTAACTATAGTATACCGCGGTAGGGGAAGCAACCCACTGCCTTTCTGCGTTTGCAAAATTTCAAAAATGCTTATGGTTTCATTGCAACAAATAGTTAAAATAGGTCATTTTTAGTGCTTTGGGGGGGTATAACTTCTAGAGGGGGGGAGATAGGTAAAAATTTTGTTCTACAAAAATAAGTTTCTAGTAAAGATCTATGTACGTATTAAATTTCAGCTTTCTATCTTTAAGAATGTAGAAGTTTTGTAAACAGACACACGGACGGACGGACGGACGGACAGAGTGAAACTAATAAGCACTTTTTTTCAAAAAATTTTTGGAAAAGTGCTAAAAAAGCATTTAGAATTTATTTTGTAGTTTTGTAAATTACAAGAAAGAATGTAAACATTTTAATGGAAATTTAGTTAAGTTTACGTTTGAAACAACTTTTCTCGGACCACTTTACTTAATTTATTTTAAATAATGGATTGGACTAGGAGTAGGATTTCGTTGAAATTGTAATTACGTATTTTTAATGGTAATAATTCAATTTGTAATTGTCAAAATGATCCCATAGTTGTAATCAAGAAAGTTGTGTTATTTTTCATTGTTTATTCTTTTCATAATCAAAAGTTTGAATTTATAAATATTTAGAGAAGAGATCCAGGTCTATAAGTAATGTGTTTTAATTTTATTTTCATACCCGCACGAACGCATATTTGAAAGATGTACTAAATTTGCTCTACCATTTACAACACTAAGAAATAATGGTCTGAGGTATAAATGAAAGCATATGTTTTTGATCAGCGTCGAATTCTGAGTCCATAAATTTTCACAAATGATTTGTTATAGTAAATATCAGAATCTATTTAAATTGGTTCTGACCGAGGTATTGGTTCGGGTACTTGCCATACAACTTCCGAATTTATTTGGTTATATCTTAGAAACTATAAAAGCAGTGGTATTGAAATTTTGCGAAAGCAACTGTACTAGTAGGGCCAATATGTTTGATGAAAGTTGTTTGGCTATATCTCAGAAATTATAAAGGCTGTGGTATTGAAATTTCATACAAGCGAATATATTAGAAGTGCCAATGTGTTTGATAAAAGTGGTTGAAATTACTTGGCTCCTACTGGTAACTGACATACAACTCGAAAAGTTATTTGGTTATATATTAAAAACTGTTCAATTTACAGTACAGAAATTTTGAAAAATAAAATACAGTAAAATGGCAGCTATATTCATTTGCAGTTGTTGAGATCTCATCAGTACTTGTGGTAGCTGCCATACAACTTCAATAGTAGTTTGGCCATATTTTAGAAAATATTGATATCACACTACTGAAATTTTGCATAAATTTATATGGTAATACGATAGGTAACTTAGGTTATAGTATGCCCCCAAATCAGCTGTAACATATTTACTCGCACATGGGATAACAATTTTGTACGGATATCACCGAGTTGACACGGACAATTCTGTTTTTTTTCGTTTATATATATGTTATCATACATATGATATGATGTTATATTTTTAAAACATGGAATATTTTGAAATTCTGACTGCGAATTTTCGATTAAATAAAATTATTTTTCTAAATAAATACATACATAAGTACACATATGTTCTATATATATATATAATATATATATGCATATCTACATATATGTACTTATGCAATCAATATATGTATATATGTTTATTTATAAATAGCTAATAATAAAATCATCCATTCTTACAAAATATATCATAAAAAAATAAAATTTGTTTTTAAATTCTACTTCAAAAATTTTTTACTTTGCGTTTTCATTTGTACTACCGGATGCTACAGATTCAGCAATTCAAATTTCTTTCAAAAAATAAAAGTTTTTGATAAAAGTTTATGTTTTATGTTACAAATAAAATATAAATATGTATTACGTACTTATACTTAAAGATCGGCAATTTTTAGTGAAAATTAATTTAAAATAGTCTTATTGTGTTTGCAATTTGCTGTTAATTGTTTTAAAGAATACATATCCGCAAAAAAATATTCAATTGAGTTTATTGTGAGAATGTTAATTATTTTTTACTGAAAATGGAAATTATGCACAAATTTATGAAATATAATTTTATAAATGTGAATAAATATCTTACGTACTTTGATTTTAAAGTATCAATGAGAAGTTTAAAAATGAATCTAACTAACGTACATTGTAGTGGTTTTAAATTAAAATTAATATAAAACAATATAAAACAATATAATTACATAATCATTTATTGCAAACATTTACTAAGTACAGCGTTTCGTAGTAGATTTTCTTAGCTGTGAAAAAATCAATATTTTAATAATAAATAATTCTTATTTATAATAGTTATCTAATAAGAACTTTGCCAAAATGAGAATGAAAATTATAGGTGTGGAATTAGCCACAGGTCCATATATTTACCGACCGTGTTGTGTATACAATAGGTAGGTTATGTGATGGTAACAAATTTTGCATATCGAGTTTTCGGTGAGAATGCACGTCTCCATAGTAGGGAAGTGTAAATAAACTATTTTTAACAACCTGTCGGTCTGTCTGTTTGTGATTTTGATGAAATTTTATATGCAAGTTTGACCATGGCACGGATTGATCAACTTTTGGCATATATCAGGCCTCGGGAACTGCACTTCTTAGCGGGCCGTGTTACACATTTGACCATTTTGAAGAAAATATTCAACCGATTTACTTGAAATTTCATATATAAGCTTTGCTCGACCGTCCGCGAAAATTCCTTAGTTTTGGAAGAAATCAGGCATCAGCAACTGGAAGTTTTCTACAGGCCAAATATACATTTTTGCGTATATAAAGAGAAATAAACAACCGATTTCATTGAAATTTAATATTTAAATTCTTCGTATTAAAAGAATGAACATATAAATATTTTGGAAAGACCAGGGCTCGAAAACTGATCTGCGGGCCGATTTTACATTTTTCACCCTATCTACGGAACGAATCGATGGAATTTCTTGAAATTTGATATTTGAGTTCTGGTTGTTACCGAAACTAACTGGGGAGCAGCTAACTAATGACCTAAAAATTGGAAAGAAGTATATAACAGACATTTTTATAATATTCTGTAACACTTTCACTTAACTAGGCAATGCACATTGCGGTCGGTTATGTGTTGACCACATCAGATTTTTTTGAAATATGTTTCGATAATTTAAACTCTAATTGTCTGTGTGTCCATTATCTTACAAAATTGTTTTACCGTTTAAGAAAAGTTCTAAGTGGTTCAATATAAGTGACAATCTAACTGGTACAATATTTTTTAGAAACAAAAATTTTCAGATCTCGATCAAAGCCATTTTCGACAAACTATTGTGTCCACACCAAAATCAATTCAAAAATGTCGTGATCACAGAAACAT